CTTTCCCTTACAGAGAATGCGAGCCTTGTGTCATCGTGGGGGCACTTATGCCTGGGATCATAAAGTCAGTATGGGGTTTAGGCATCTTTGTTATTTGTGCAGCCCTCCTCCTCCAAACAATATCAAATTAGCTCTGGACATAGGGATTCTCTGTAGTGAAGCTATTAAGTATTTATTAAACACCTAATGTGTACTAGTACTGTTCTAAGATGCTATTTGAGATATATAAGAATTATAGAATAGATACAGTCCCTATCAAAGAGCATGTTGGTACTATTACATGTGTAATTTTGTGCTGTCTATAAAGTCATAAGAGTATTTCTAAAACAAAATATGCACATATGCAAAGTATTACATACAGATGGAGTGGTGCCCTTCAAAGCAATCTTGTCCCCTGGCCATGGTTGTTTACCAGTAATGCAGTTTCACTTTCCAATTTAAGAGTTGCTTAGTGGTAGAAAAACTGGAAAATACAAGCACAAGGAAGAAATATCAGCTGTAATTCCACCACAGAGAAGAGACCACTGTTAATATCGTATATTATGTTCCAGTCTTTTCAGTGCCTATTTTTTTTTTTTTTTTTTTTTGTCTTTTGTCTTTTTCCGTGTCCAGCAACGGATCGCAACCCTCAGTGTTGCCCCCGTACCGGACTGGGGACCGGCAACGGGATTGCAACCCTCGGTGTTGCTCCCGCGCCTCACTCAGCCAGTGAGCGGGAACCGGTCTGTATGTGGGATCCGAACCCTCGGGCGGGAGCGCCGCCACGCTTCCCAAGCGGCACACTATCCAGTGCGCCACCGGGCCGGCCCTCAGTGCCTATTTTTTAACAAAGTTGGGATCAAACTATTTTGTAACCTGATATTTATACCTAATATTATAAAACAAGTATTCTCCCACATTATTAAAAACTGCAAGGCCGGCCCGTGGCTCACTCGGTAGAGTGCGGTGCTGATAACACCAAGGCCACAGGTTCGGATCCCATATAGGGATGGCCGGTTCACTCACTGGCTGAGCGTGGTGCTGACAACACCAAGTCAAGGGTTAAGATCCCCTTACCGGTCATCTTTTTAAATAAATAAATAAATAAATAAATAATAAAAACTGCAAAATGATGCTGATGTTGCTGAAGGTGATTTTTGAAATCCCTTTTTACAATTGCTTTCAAAGCCAATTTATGAGGTGCATTCATTTTTGTTACTTTTTGGACACACCTTGTATTTGGCCTGGTTCAGTATTAACCAACTTCATCATCCACCTTTGTCAGAGTTGGCTCTGGATATCATTTTAAGTTTTTAAACATAGAACCCAGTCTTAAAAGCCACAGATTTGTCACTTTTGAAAAAAGTCAAAAGGTGTGTCACATGTTTTGAAGGCAGTTCCCTAAGGGTTCCACAAATGCTTTCTTGGAAGAAGTTCATGGTCACTGAAACTACCATGAAAGTAAGCACTCATTTCAATACATGAAATGGTAATAATAAGAACAATAAACACAGGGTGTGCTCATCATGTGCCAGGCACGGTGCTAATGGGATTTACACATATTAACTCATTTAGCCATCACAAACACCAAATAAAGTAGATACTAGAATTATCACCTTTAAATGCAAGGAAGTGGAGGCATAGAGAGGTCAAGTACCTTTTCCAAGACCACACAGCTAGAAAGTGGGAAAAGCCAGAATTCAAACTCAGGCAGCATAATTCCAGAGCCTGTGCACTAACTGTGGCCGTCTGTGCCCTCCCTACATGTTTAATGCTTTTTCTTCTTCTTTTAAATTAGGCTTGTTACTTTAGAGTTGTGCCTAATTTGGGAGAGCTCCTGAGGGGCTTTCCAGGTCTTCTGTGACTGAGGCCAGCTCCCCTGGTGCCCCAGGGAATCAGTCTGGTTTTCTCTCCTCGTGCAGTGACCACCACCAGCACTGTCTCTTTTGTTTTCTTTTCCCTGGGACTGGCTCCCTTCTTCCTTGCTCTCTCTGAAAATGACTACGGAGGCCTTTTTCAGTGTAGATTCACTACAGCAAAGTGGATAAAAGTCGGGATGAGGAGGGAGTATATGGCAGAACCAAGTTGCAAAGCTTCCAAGAAACTTCTCACAATGTTTAATTGATAGAGATATGTTAGCAAACTAAACCTGGTTTTTTTAATCTTGCTGCCAGCTATATATTTTTTTCTTCAAATGATTCCATAGCTCTTTCTCCAGTTCTTTCCTTAGAAGTCATCCCATTCAACCTTTTCTGGGTTGGATACTGGGTCCTGCTACTCTGATGAGGCTCAAGGTAGATCCAAGTGTTGCTGGGCCTGATGAGAGTCTCAATTCTTATTTTCTTTGGTATGAGGCCCCAGCGAGGGAGTCCTTATTCTAACTACCCCAGAGCACCCTCTCCCTAGTGTCCAGCTACCCTGCACTGACTGGCCCAAAAGGCAGCCTGTCTGACCCCCCTTCCCCTGAGCTGCACGGGGTGCTCTGGTGCTTGTAAGGACACCATTGCTTCACCTCCTCATAGTGAAGCCCAGCCTCCCCATCCTCTGTTCTGAGCTAACTTCCAGGCCAACCACATTTCCCTCTGAGGTTTCAGTTGACAGCAGCAGTCTGCCTTTGCATCTGCTGCCTTTGCATCTTCCTTTATTTTGGCCTGAATAGGGTACTGAATTCATAGTTCACCTGAGGGCAGTGGTGACTGACATTGACTGAGCTAACCAGGTGACCCACTTGCTAAAACCTCTTCTGTACGCCTTTTCTGGCTCCTCAAGGTGTTCCCTCCCTTTTACCTCCCAACCCCAAGAGTGATGTTGCAGAATTATGGTTTCACAGTGTCAAACTACTCTAAACATACAGAAGCAGTGAGAGATACAATCCCCTCCAATGGAACAGACGCTGATTTCTCTGAAGCACATTAGTGCAACAGAAAAGAGAGATCAGAGTGAATTGGGACAGTCAGGGAAGGTTTTGTGCACATGTAGAGTTTGAGCTTGGACCTTGAAGGGCAGAAGGATTTTGGCTGGTCATGAGAGAGAATGAGAATTTGAGAATTGGGAGTGGATGGGTGGTTAGGGTTGTTTATAGTTAGGGAGAATAGGCGAGAAGGTCAAGACAAAATGATGAAGCCATTATTTATCTAGTCATCCCAAACACTGATGCACAACAGAATCGCCTGGGGAGTTTAAACAACTCTTGGTGCCTAAGTTACACCCCATACCAATGAAATCAGAATGTCTGGCGCTGGGGGCCAGGTATCTGCTTTTTAAAGGTCCCCATGTGATTCCAATGTGCAGCAAAGTTTGGGAACCGTTTCTCCACTTTGTTTCCTACAAGTATGTGAAGCTTCGCAGAAAGACCTATAAAACAATAGAATTAAAAAGAGAATGAATTAGGAAGTAAGGAGGAAGGGATAATGAAAGAAGAATAAGATGAAGCCGAGGAATAAAGTCAGTTCATAAAATACAAACTATGAGATACCATGCAGTTGCTATGGTGGGTCTGAATTTTGACTCTGAGCTTCTGGTAGCTAAAGCAAAAGGAAACCTGAGCAGTTATGAAAGTCATATGATAGGAGTCAACCGGTATTTCAAGAGAAGCCCTGGGACTGAGAGCAGAAAGAGGTCTCTGTGGGCCGGCCTGTGGCTCACTCGGTAGAGTGCGGTGCTGATAACACCAAGGCCACGGGTTCGGATCCTATATAGGGATGGCCGGTTCACTCACTTGGGAGAGCGTGGTGCTGACAACACCAAGTCAAGGGTTAAGATCCCCTTACCGGTCATCTTTTTAAAAAAAAAAAAAGAAAGAGGTCTCTGTGGGCCGGCCTGTGGCTCACTCGGTAGAGTGCGGTGCTGATAACACCAAGGCCACGGGTTCGGATCCTATATAGGGATGGCCGGTTCACTCACTTGGGAGAGCGTGGTGCTGACAACACCAAGTCAAGGGTTAAGATCCCCTTACCGGTCATCTTTTTAAAAAAAAAAAAAGAAAGAGGTCTCTGCCATGGCTCTTTTTTTTCCTTCTGATCATGTCCTGCACGATTGAGGCTCTTCACAAAGAAGGCACCGTGCGGTGCTGTGGACAGGGCTTTCTGTGGTGTCTTTACAATCACATGGGTCATTAGCTAAAACACCCCTTAATGTTGTCTCTGGAGGTCAGTCAAGGCCAGAGTAACTGCTCACATTTAATGTAGCAAGAGAGATTGACAGTACTTTCTAAATTCTTGATTTTTGTCTGTAACTAATTTAAAAATCTTCCCATCTCCCTGGCCTCCCGGCTCATTGTAAACTAATTAACCAGACTTGTTTACCTACAGGTAGAGTATCTGCATTTTGTCTTTCTTGTGACCATTTCTTATTCCTGGCACTCAATTTGTTGTTTCCCTCACCAGGCCAGGGGCTCAGAGGCACAACGCATTGATTTAAGGCACAAACCTGAGATCTGGCTTGCCATTGTTGTGCCCATAGATAGAGCAAGTTCACCTGCTTTGGCCTCTACTCTGAGGGTTGGGATTGCCACTCCTTCTAGAGCCTGAGCTTAGCCACAGGGGCCATCTGCTGGTGGGGTCACTGCCCCTGGGTCTAGTTCACTGACCTGAAGACCTGAGAGGGACTATTTCCTACAGATGGGCAGAAAGGGCAGCTCTGTCCCCTTCTACCCTCCTCCCCCATGCCCAGGCAGTTGAGAAATGCTGATCCAGCCGGTCCCATCTTTGCCTTGGAGCCAGTGCCCAAGGGACCTGCCTGCCCCGCCCCAGCAGAGTCAGCTGTGATTGGCGAGTGGCCCAAGTGAGCTATGGGTCAGGTCAGGATGGGGACCAACTTGGCAGAGAGCCATCATGGCAGCCTCAGGAAGGTGTGGCTGGCAGGCCTGCCCAGGCAGGGCACTCTCCACATTCCTGGTTGGCTCAGAGTGTGTGGCAGCCTCAGTGTGCCAGCTGCTGGGAGGAGGGGTCTGCAGCAGGAGGTGTGGGGGGCTCCTGTGCTGTGTGCTTCTCTACGCTCTGTTCCTGTCTCTTGTCACGTAAGTCTCAGGCTGGAGGTAAATTTGGGGCTGGTTTGGAATGTAACATGCATGTGTGTGTGTGTTTGTGTGTGTGTGTGCGTGTGTTAGGGCCATACATACATAGAATAGTCCCTTGGTGAGGAGACTACCCAGGGTTGAGCTGCTGTGCACACACACAGTGGCCAGGTGAGCGCCACGTGGGGTGTAGTGAACCAGCTGTCCGAAAAGGCACTGGGCCTGGGGGTGCGTGTGTGGGGTCTCTGCCTCCACCTGCTGTTCCTGGGGCTGTGGGCTCTCCTAGTAATGCTCCGAGCACTGTGTGCATGTGTGTGGAAGGGGAGCCGGATTGTGCTCACCTCTGCTTGCTCTGTGGCCCTTACAGCCCACCTCTGTGGTGTTTACGTCTTGCTTCAGGCAATTGCCTGGTCTGCGCAGCTGGCAGGGAGCTGGGTGGCGCTGCACGTGCAGCTCTACTGTGCCTTGCTGCAGACGCTCAGATGCATTCCTTTAATCCTGCTGTGTGAGCAGGCTGCCAGGTGGCTGGTGCGGGCCAGTGTGTGGGCCGGCAGAGGCCTGGCTCGGGTGTGGGGTGTGGCGGCCTTTGTCCAGCTGTGTGCCCACATGGCCTTCCTGGGCATGTGCCTGTGCATGCACATGTGCTTTGCCGCCATCAGCTCTAAGGTCCGGGTGAGAGTGCATGTGCCCTTCAGGGTCCAGGAACCCCTGAGCCGGGGCGTCAAAGTGAGGCTGCAGGGCTGGAGGCATGGGAGGGCCAGCGGGGAGGCAGGTGCACCACGTGGGGAGATTGGGGAGGAGCAGAAGCCCCAGCCCACCAGGAGCCGTAAGCCCACCAGGAGAAGGGAGGTGTCACGGAGCAGGAGTGAGCTCAGTCCAGGTGGTAAGTGAAGGGGCTGCTCCTTGCCCTTTGGACCTGTCCCCAGCCTTGGGTGCCAGCACCTCCTTCGTGGCAGCCAGGCCAGGCTTGGAGGCTGCTTCTCTTCCTGTGCCAGTCAAGCCCATGTGGCTGTCTCTCTACTTCCCCTGCTGGGCACTGGGTGCCTCTTTCCTAGGCTGAGTGGTCTCTGGGGAAGGCACAGGCAGAATGACATGGGCAGATTCCAGTCCTTGCGCTGGGCCAGGGGCCACTCTCCTGCCTCTGCCCTTGACTCCCTTTGCACATCCCCGTCCCCCTTTGCTCCTTGCAGCAGCCGCTCTGCTCCCCTCCCCCTCCTATCTCCTGCCCTTCCCGGCAGGCTCTGTTTCTCTTCTGACTTCTCAGGTTATTCCCCTCTCTGGGCCACCATGGATGCTGTCCTCTCTTACTCCAGGATTCCCTCTGCTTGGTCCGCCTTTACCCCAGGGCCCCTCTGCCACTCCTCCCTGTGTCCGAGAGTCCCCAGGCGTGCCGGGCCACGCTCTGCTCACCTCCACGCTCTCCCTGCAGTGGTCCCGAGTGCCGCGACTCTCATCATCGTGGTGTGTGTGGGCTTCCTGGTGCTCATGGTCATTCTGGGCCTAGTGCGCATCCACTCCCTTCACCACCGAGTCTCTGGAACCGGCGGGCCCCCCGGGGCCCCCAGTGACCCCAAGGACCCGGACCTCTTCTGGGATGACTCAGCTCTCACCATTATTGTGAACCCCATGGAGGTGAGTGGCCCTGGGGAACGAGTCAAGGTTCAGCTGTAATGTACACCACAAAGACTCCTAGTGAGGGGCAGGCCCTGGGCGAAAGCTCTTAGCAGAGCCACGATGAGCTGGAAGGAGAAGAGTTCAGGCTGGGTAGGAGGTGGGAGGCGGGGAAGGAGCCAGGGACAGTAGCCCCCGAAGGAGAGTCCCTAGGGTGGGTGCAGGCCACTGATCCCTTCTCCTCTCCAGTCCTACCAGAACCGGCAGGCCTGTGTGGCGGGGGCTGCCGGTGGCCAGCAGGAGGATGAGGACAGCAGTGACTCCGAGGCGGCTGACTCCCCCAGCAGTGACGAAAGACGCATCATCGAGACCCCCCCACACCGCTACTAAGGCCTACACCCCTCCCCAAACAGAGAGAATTCTGCCCTGGTGAGGAGACAGAGACACACCCAGAAAAGGGAGAAGGACACTCTGCAAGAAGAGAGGCCAAGAGGGAGAGATCTTCAGAAGGAGCCCTACTTTAATCTTGAAACCCAGTCTGCCCCTCACGTCCTCCTCCACCCCCGCCACCTCCCTCCCTCGCCTCGGGGATGTCATTCCCCGGGTGTGCTCCTTGTGGCCGGGATGGCTGGGTTGGAAAGGTGGCTGGATGACTGGCTGCCTTTTCTGCCCCCCATGGCAGCTGCCCCCTTAGCTCACCCATGCCTGTGTCCCTGCAGCCCCCCAGCTGTGTAATGTATTTGGGACGGGGTGGCGTCAGTAGCGATGGCTAGGCTGGGCGTGGGACTGAAGGAAGCCCTCTGCTCTCCCCTTCTCTCCTCCTGTCTTCAGGAGGCCTTTCTCCCGGGGCTCCCTCAGCTGGGCCTTCCCTGCTTCTCTTACGATCCCCCACACCTCTGTTTCCATTTCACTCTGGGGATCCCTGCTCCTCCACCTTTCCCAGTTTCCTTCCATTTGAACCTCTTCCCCCTCCTGACCTTGCAGTCCTGAAGTCCTGCAGCCCCACCCTTTCCTCCATGACCCGGTTGTGGCTAGGTTGTGACTAGGATGGGAGGGGGTGTGGGGTCCTGGGTATATCATATATAATGTATATTTTTTCAGTGTTGTCGCGAGCGCAGCCCCCTGTTCCTGTGTGCAGCTCGCAGCCTTGTGTGTGCGTGTGGCATCATCATGTCCTGGGGTGGGGGGAGGGGGGTGGGTGTGGTGAGGGAGGGGACACATCCTAGGGTTTTCAAATAAAACAACCAGAAAAAGCTCCACGGGCTTCCTTCTGCCTGCCAGATCCTGTGTGGCCGTGGGTGGCAGGCTCTCAGGTCTCAGGGCCATTCGGGTCTCGCAGGGCTGAGGGGAGGGAGGCAGGGCTGGGCATTTCGGCGCCCTGACTGGGTAAATCCCCAGGGTGCCAGGCCACTGGGAAAGTTAGGTGGGGCCAGATAGTTCCCACTGCCTTCTTCCCTCAGCACCTCTGGAAAAGTAAAGACAACTTGGGATGCCACTTGGGTGCTTTGTGAGGACACTATCAGCCCCTTCCCATCACTTGGAACATTCTGCTTGGAGTACATGGGCTCACCGCCTGGGAGTCCTGAGGGAGAAGGCAGGAGACCCTGCTATTTGTAACAAAGGGACCTGGAGACTGTTCCAGGGCTGAGCTTTCCTTGCTAACCAGTCGGGACATTCTGCTTTGCCCATGTCCACATGGCTGTTCCAGCACAGCTGCTGAGTGGCCTTAGTCCTCTCCACACTGACCCAGCAGCCTGGCCTGAGAGCAGGCAGCTTCTGGTTTCTCCTCAGCCTTTTGGGCCATTGGTTCTCTGGCCCAGGTCTTAAGCCCCAGGTAGTAAAGGACAGTGACCAGATGCGGTTATTTCAGAAGAGTGAATGCTGGTGCGAGCATCCTTCCTGCACTGTCCCTGCCCCAGGGAGCACCAGGGACCCAAGTCTCACTTCCTGCGTGTAGCACGAGGGTTTAGAGTGCAGTGAGCCTTCGCTAGTTCTCGGGGGCTCTGCAGCACAGTGGGGTGGAGGTGGAAGCTGCACCCAACGCCACTCGCACTCCCGCCAGTGCTTCCGTCCTTGCCCGTGGCCTCGCCTATCAGCTGCGCTGATGCCTCCATATTTATGTCCCACACCCAGACCTCTTTCCTAACTCGGGTTTACGACCGCCTATTGGTATCTCCACCTGGACATGCTGTGCCTCAAACTCAGACCTTCCCCCAATTCTGCTCTATTCTCTGTTGCCTCTCCCTAGCACCTCTCACCCGGTTACCTAAGCCAGAAACCTGGGAGTCAGTCTAGCTTCCTCCCTCTCCCTCAACCCCATATCCAAATGGTGACTAAACCCTAACCTTCCAACCCCTTAAAACCTCCCTGATATGTCTTTTTCTTTTTCCCCTACTGCTGCTGCTGCTGCCTTGATTCATACCCTTTTCATTTTTTGCCTGGTCTGTTGCAAGGGCCTCCTACGTGCCTCCTACCTGCACTTGTCTCTGGAGTCTCGTTCCTCTCCAGCCCATCCTTGACTCTGGGTCTCAGTGATGTTTCTAAAGTACAACTCTGGTTATACTACTGTCTTATTTAGAACTTTCCCCAACCCCCTGTCACTGCCTGGGTCAAGTCCCGATGCCTTGGCAAGCCCCTTAACCCAGAGGGGTCGGGTCCCACCTCCCTCCCTCCCTGGCCTTTATGCTGCCACCACCCATGCACACCCGTGCTCTGGTCACACAAGCCACTTGTACTTCCTGGACTCATCCTGCTCTTTCTTGTCTCTGTGTCTGCATGTACAGTTACCACTGCCTAGCATGTCTTTCCCCCTTCAGGTGCCTAGCAATCTTCTACTTAAATCACCGAAGACCCAGTCCAAATGTCACCTCTTCCAGGAAGTCTTCTGTGCTCCGCCACCCCTTGTTCATGCCTCTGTTGCAGCACTTACTGCAAGGCTGTGGTATGTGTTTGTTGCTACCCCAGATTCTCTGTATTCTCAGCAACTCTCATGGGGCCTGGCACATGGTAGGGCTCAGTAAAGGATAAACGAAGCAATGTGTGTGCTTCTCACACTCAGAGAAGACTTACTGGTAGGAGGAGAAAGGAGAGCTGATTGGTGGCCCACTGGCCTGGGAGTCAGAGGACAGAGGGTGGCCAAGCAGATGCCCTTGCAGCAGCCTCTCCCGTGGTGGTCTGCCCAGATGCCAAGCTGATGTTTTAGTTTTCCTGTGTGGGAGGCAGCCCTGCTTGTTCATCCTAGAGTCCCCCAGAAGCTCAGGGTGAAAGCCCAAAATGTCAGAACCTTCAGACAACAGAGCTTGACCTCTCAAAGGGATGCAAGAGAGAGTGTTTGGTTGTGGTTCTGAATCGCAGTGAGTTCAACCCCTTCTCCTCCTCATCATCATCCTTCTAGTCCTCATTCACCCCTGGTCTCAGAGAGCACAGCTTCTCACGCAGAGGAGTGGAAGCCAAGTGGTTTCGGCTGTATGCCCTAGGAGTCCCCAACATTGTCACTGAGACTTGGGACTTGGGGTCTTTATTCACCTGCTGCTCAAGCTTCAGGGATAGGGAGTGGGTGGGCGAGGGGATGAGGTTGCCATGAACTCTGCCCCACTCTTGACGTACACACACTTGCAGAATGCCCAACCTTGGCTCGGCTCTGGCCTTCCTGGATCATCTGTCTCTGGGGCTGAGTGTGGGTTTCTTCTGAAATGTAAACATTCTGCATTAATTTCCTGGAAACTCTCTCCAGAGTCAGAACCACTGACCACTGATAATTTCTTATAGGTGTAACCTTTTCTGTCCCTCCTCCTCACCCGCAGCATCTGACACCTCAGGTCCCTGTCCCTGCTTACGCCATCTCCCTACGTGACAGTTGGGCAGGTAGAGATGTCCTGGTGGAGCAAGTGTGTACGTGGGACTGGAGGCCTGGAGAAGGGGAGAAACTTCTGCTCTCACTTGGTGACTCGCTCTCCCTCTCAATCTCTCTGTCCCTGTCTCTTTTTCTCTCTCTCTGACACACACACACACACACACACACACACACACACACACACACACACACACACATGCTCACACCACTGGCAATAGGAATCGGACGTGAGGCAGGATGCCAACTCCTGCCAACTCCGATGATGCAGGGAAAGGGCAGCAGGCAGGAGTCCAAATAGGTCTTTACTTAGTTGCTCAAGATGTCCTGGAAAGATGTTCCCTGACTTCCCTCACAGAAGCTGGCAAAGCCTCAGGATGTCAGGCCCCGGGCAGGGTTTCCAGTTCACCTATTCCCAATTTAATTTGAAACAGCATACACTTTTCCCTTGGCCTCCCTCAAATCTTGCCTTCTGCAATGAAAGGCTGTTTTCCTCTCAAGTCCACTCTCTGCAGTGAAAATTAATTAGCTTCTGGAAAGGTGCATAATGACAAGCTATGCCCTTGGGAAAAGGCGATGCTGTAGAGGCCAATACATTAACCACCAGTTCAAGAGCAAAGTGTGTCCTTTCTGTTACCAGACTAGAGACCTGAAAACTCACCTGTCGCCATCGGGGCGGGTGGATGCAAACACATTGGTGGTTTGCAGCAGGTGGCTCTGCCTACTTTGGGAGTCCGGATTGCCCCTTGCAGCCTTCAGGCTGAGGCACCAGTCAGCAACTATTCTGCGACCTCCACCCAGCAGCCCCACCAGCGAGGATTTGTTGGGGTAGGTCAAGACCCACAAGTCTGCTCCCAGTCTTCTAGGAGCTGTGTGAGGGCTCATGCTCCCTCCACATTTTAAGTCCACCTGGGGGGCTCCTCAAAGTGTATCCCCGGACCTATCACAACTTGGAGCTTCT